CATTAGTTAAGAACATAAATTTAAGAAAAGCGAACACGCAGCAGAGATCTTCACATGTTAAAAGCAACTTAGCGGCATAGCATGGAACGGCACATGTTTTGGTGTTCAGTTTGGTGAGTTCAAGCATCATTTAAAATTATTCATTTTTAAATTTGTTTACATTTTTACCAAAAAAATCGGCATAATAATGAAATTCTACCGTTATTCAACTCATTTTCATGTTTTAAAGGTCGTCAAAATAATCATTTCTTTGTTCTTTATATTTCAACAGGTCAAAATAACAGAGCTAAAAGATTTGACCACGTCGGAAATACATCACTCAGCGAATGGCACCTAAGATATTGTTCTTCGCTTTGTATCAACACAAAAATTAGCAAAACTTCGGAAAAATACTAGAAAATAGAGAAGGCGCTTTGGTTCACAACATCTTTTGAACGATGAGTCCCATTTAAGTCTTCAGTCGAACAATAGTTTATTAACAACGCAAAAATGCCCCAAGAACAAACATCCCATGATGACCAAATATCAATAAAAATCCCATGATTGCCTTTGATATGACTCGACTCAGAAATTTCCTGGAGAAATAATCACAAACAAAAAAATGCTATGTGTTCCTGGGTCCCTTGCGACCATAATGTAAGTATAAATTAATGAACCTATTAAATGCACTGATATAATCAAATCTGACAGTTCTATTCATTTAAAACCCGATTTTAATGTTCATAATTCGTATTTCTCCACTTACAGACGTAAATTTGGTCAAGTCGTCGATTTGGCCAAGTCGCGTATTGTCATCGATGTCTAGAAGTACTCTGATGATGTGTACGAGTTAAGAAACAACACAAATTCAGCCAATCAACATACTGTTCCTTTGGACATATCGCGAATATCCTGTCCCACTCTTTGTATCACTTCAAATTTGATCCAGAATCTGGATGCCAGATTTCAAGCCGAATGATACCAAACCGATCCAAACCGACTGAGAAAGGAAATGAACAAGAAGGACATGGTTTGGATTGAATTTGCAACGATTCAGATGAATTGTTTGCAAACGTGCAGAAGATATCACGACAATTAGGTTAGTATTGAAATGAAATAAACGTACTTCATAAATAAAATCTCTTTAAATTTTGTTCAACTTACAAAATTCTGATTCAAATGTCTGAAATTCACTCTAAAACGTAATACTCTTTTTTGCAGATGCATCAGACTATCATGCACTAATGCGACAGTCTACACTTTGCTGTTTTATCATCGATTTGATGAAAGCGCCTCAATTTATAACCTTCTTCAGAAATAATCAATCGAAGACAGGTAGATGAGACAAGGGATTCCCGACAGAAAACTGTAAGTATTTAAAAAAAGGAAACAATTCAATTCCGAAATAATAAAGCCGATTTTTTTTTGTTGAAAAAAAATGAGTAAACACGTTTTTCTTCTCTTAACAGGAACACTATTTCATTAATTGATGGAAGCCGCTA